GATAGCATGCTAAAATTTCCAAACTGACTCGACATTACTGTTTGAAACAAACTCAATGTTATTATCTTTATTATTATTACTACCTTTATTATTATATTTAATGATCTCAATTCATGCTTCGAATATTTTTATGAACAAATTTCCCTGCTTAATTTTGTTTTAAATTTTAATTTTATTTATATTTCGAGTAAATCAGGTGCAAGGTGTTGTGACAAATGCTGAGAATTCTATTCTGTATTATAAGTACTGTTTTCGGAATAAAGTAGATTATTTTTACTATTATACCCAACCTTCCCTCTTTACCAGTCTTATAACTGGCTTAGCAAGGTAAATGAATGTGTCGGCTAGTGATCGGACCGGGAGCCACATGCAAGGTCGGCGAGCATTCTACCTCTGTGCCACCGACTCACGAATCGACACTAGTATTACCGATTTCATTCTTGTTTTTTTTATACAAAGCGGAGTAGGTATCCATACCAATCCCAGAGCGATGAATATCTGTTCCGCTTCTTCAATCCTGCCTTTGATATCCTAATCCGTGCTGCATGTTTAATGAAACGATGCAGCCTAAATAACTGAAAATTAGCGACCTCCTTCAAATTTATTCCGTTGATAGTGATTGGAGCTTGTTATTAATTGTTGGTTGATTGGTTATCTTTATCACCTCCATTTTTCGCTACGTACACCTGAAGTTCCCTCTTCAATGCTCCTTCGGCCAAATTGTCTATTTTCTCTCGTAGATCTGTAGGGTTTATGTGACATTAAACTTAATCATCCATGAAGTCCATATCTCCCAGAATCTTCGCATTAGCCTAATGGATTGCTGTCTCCATACATCTCACGGCCTGGTGCATAATCCCGTTCATAACACAATCAGGAATATCGCGAATTCCAGTAGGCGGAATTGTTTTACTCCTGCCTTCACTTCAAATGCTTCGGTGAATTTTCAGTTGTGAATTTCTTGATGTGTGGCATAATCATACAGCTTTTGAATAGAGCGGATAAAGGTTTAGGGCATTCTGGAGTTCTGAAGCTGATGTTTTCAATCTACTTAACAGTTAACGCTGTCAAATGCCTTTTCAAATTCAGTTGAGTTGAGCTAGAGAATGAACAGAGTTAAAATAATGTTAGTTTACGTCGACCAACTGTCTGAAGCGAAAAAGACTAGTCTTGTGTCAATGAACTTGAAATATTGAGTAACGACTAGGTACGCGAGGTGGAGCAGCAGAACAAGGTAAAGGTTGGTTGAATGATAAGAAAATTACCAACCGAATAATAAGAATGTGGGACGCTTGAAGAGTCTTACTAAATTGGTATTTTGATAGGGTTTTTAGTTTTAAATAATTAGTTTCCTCTATGAATTTCGAAAAAATAATACAAGAATTGAACAAATGTGAAGAGGGTGTGTAAATATATAAGAGGAGCATATGAGATTGATAATAGTGAATTGATTATGAAAGCAAAAGCAAACTAAAAGTAAAATTAAAAACAAAAGAAAAATCAAAATGTTTTACAGGGAACGACTAGTGAAGAGGTTAAGGCCAAGGAAGAGTAGGAGACTGGACAATGTTTTTCTGTATACAGAGTTCAGGATTGTAATGCTGAGTTCCATAGCTGGGTCCCTTTGAGAAGGAAGAGAAATCTGATACACTCCTTATCCTCTAGAATAAGGAGGATATGTTCAAGTGATACAATAGATGGGGAACTGGGACGACTCAGACAAGTTCTCATAGAGAATGGATATCCTCCAAGTTAATATGTGTAAAACTTGGGCACTGTGGTAGTAAGTAACTCCATATCAGTTTGTTTATTAGATGTATCACACAGTGAAACAGTATTGTATACTGGATGACGTTTCGAACACAATTTATTGTTCATAATCATATCAATTGCGGTCACACGACTTTGAGATTTGAGTTTTATAGTTTTCTTTGTCGTCTCCTATTTGTCGTATGGGCAGTAGAATTTTCCATATATCTGGGACAGGTGTTGAATCATTTCTATTACATGTATTTGCCGTTGATTCGATAAACAAAGCTTCTGTTATCAATCTCTCCCTATACCATGTGACATTAAATTTTAAAACTGTCATCCTATCCGATCCTATTGTATGGTTGTGTGTAATTGCATGTAGTTAGTGCTATAGCTGAACTATTTTCTAGACTTCTTATCTTATTTGAGTCAACCAATCTAGAACAGGGGCAGTCAGACTAGCCGAACATAAAAACCTAGCTAAATCTAGATTGGTTGACTCAAATAAGATAAGAAGTCTAGAAAATAGTTCAGCTATAGCACTAACTACATGCAATTACACACAACCATACAATAGGATCGGATAGGATGACAGTTTTAAAATTTAATGTCACATGGTATAGGGAGAGATTGATAACAGAAGCTTTGTTTATCGAATCAACGGCAAATACATGTAATAGAAACGATTCAACACCTGTCCCAGATATATGGAAAATTCTACTGCCCATACGACAAATAGGAGACGACAAAGAAAACTATAAATCTCAAAGTCGTGTGACCATAATTGATATCCTCCAAGATTTATCGAGAAAAGCATAAAGTTAAGGGAAAAGCCTAGAAGAATCCAGACGGTGCCGAAGAAACTGCTATTTATGACTGTTGAATTTAAAGGTGATACCGCAGCTGAGATCCTGAAGAATCGCTTATGCAGATCACTGAGGAAAGCCTTCTTTATGGATGACAAATGGTCAACGGATGTGTGAAGGATAAACTGCCGCTTTGGGCCACCTGATTGTGTGTTTATAAATTCACCTGCTCGTGTGGAGCTAGTTATATTGACCGCAAAACTTGGCGCACACTTTCCAAACGCATCTCTGAACATTATCCGGCATGGTTAGCAAAAAGACAGTGCAAGACAATTACTAGCTCAATTCTCGAGAATTTGGTGAACTGAGGCCACGTAGAGTCACCAGAGTCGTTTTTCAATATCATCTATAAAGTGAAGCCAAATGGTACAAAGGGCGTCAGGTTTCGGCTTTTGTGTATGGCGGAGGCGCTGGCAATTCAGCAGTACAACACAAAAATTTTCAGGCAATCCAATTAGGGACGGAGCTTCAATTGCCAACGTCATCTAGTGTTTCAGGAGTACGAGATGTCTACCTACCTCTGTGTAAACTCCGTCCTATCTTATTGAATTGTTTCATATGTGTAGGTAGTTTACACAAGAACTCTACTCCTTCTTTTATGATGTCGCCATCCAAACGTCGTGTCACTGAGTTGATTCTAAGATAGCGCGCTATGATACTCAAGGCTTGTGGGTCCTGTACAAATGCTGGTGTCTGTTAGAGACAGATTTTGAGTATTAAGAGGTGTAGCAATAAGAAACGATAGGAGATCTGAAAGGCTCGATAAATGTACTTTACCATGTTGAAAATTGCGAGGAATGCATCTAGAGGTAGTGAGTGGTTAACCTTTGCAGTGACTGTTTTATAATGGCATTTATGACATTCATGGGCAGAAGAGGTTATCCAAAGGAAATGTTCAGTGATACTGGAACCACCCAGTAGGGATCAAAAAGGGAAGTGGAAGCAAGAAAGAATAAACAACACTTTGCTAAGTAGAGGTATAGGCTGGTATTTCAGTCCACCATCTGAGAGTCATTAGGATGGCGCTGGAGAACGTAAGATAATAGACTAACACTTGCTAATCTACTGTTGTCAGGTAGCAACTCGATCGGCATCAGTGTAATTCGTCTTGGTGACAAGGTCTTCAAAAGGTTGGGTCAGGCTAACTATTTAGAGAAAGTATGAAGGTAATGTCGCCTAGATTACTAGCTCGCTAGTTTTCTAGCCCGTCCTAAGCCCAGATAAAGAGGGAGGGTTGTGGCGTGGTGCTAGCATCTCCACCCCAGAACTTAACCAAACTGCTACAGAAAATTCAAAGCACAAATATATTAAAAATTCTAAAAATATAAACAATAACCTTAATTTTCGCTGGAATCGGGGAAGTGAAATGACACAGGCTGTTGAAAGCCTTCGGGAAGCCAGTCAGCCAATGTGCCTTCTTTCGATGAAAGCAAAAGTAAGGATGGTTACCTGGAATGTTCGTACAATGTATGAAGCTGGAAAGGCTGCCAAGGTGGCCGCAGAAATGCGAAGATATGGAATAGAAGTGTTGGGAATCTGCTAGAGCAGATGGAATGGATGTGGCAGGAGCCAGCTACCAACTGGAGAGACCATAATCTATTCCGGTCACCCAGGGGACAATCACGAGCACACCGAGGAAGTGGTCATCATGATGTCACCAACAGCAACCAAAGCTCTCATGAAATGGGAACTAATCTCCTCCAGGATAATGACAGCCATTATTATTATTATAGTTCTCTTGGGTTCCTAGTGGAACATAGGGCTTCAACTGCACATCTCCACTTGCTTTCCTCTTCTTCTGTACTTTTCACCTGCATCCATGTTAGTCCATACTGTTTCAACTCCTCTTCACACGATCTCCTCCATGTCACCCTTGGACGTCCCACTCGCCGCTTCCCTTTAGGGTTCAACTCGAGCAATGGCCTGACGTGCGCGCGATGTCACCCAGCAACGCCCTCCTCAGCGAGCCAGTATCCAACCCATCCAATATCGTTTTTACGAGCTAGTATAAACCAATTTGATTTCTTTGTGCTCGCTTCTTGATTGTGAGGTATAGGTTCTTGATCTTCGGTAAACTTCTGCGTAGCTTGTCCCGCCACTCGACTGTCGTAGCTTTGGTTGACTCCAAAGGGAGTAGTGCTGGGATTAATTATATGTGGTTTGTAGTATGAGGTATGTTAAGACTGTTACTACTGTGATTGGAGTTGATCCTTTCGCCAGTTAGTCCTTCGGTATTGTCGACAAGAGAAAAGAGATAGTAATAATAATAATAATAATAGATATAATTAGTGAAGCTATTCAGACTAAGAGACAGAAACGAAAATAGGAAACGTAACAACAGTCAGCTCATTAAGTTTGAAGAATAATATATATATCGGTAATAGTAATAATAATAATAATAGTAATTATAATATTAATAAGTTGTCAGGAGAGTAAGACGGGAGAGAATGTAAAGAAGTAAAATGACGAGTTTAATTATCTACCCTGATTGGTAAATGCGATTTTAAGGAGATAGGCCATTTGGATGCAGTCCTTGTATCGCTGCATGGTTGTCCAGCCTTCGCTTAAAGGCGTCCAAAGACGGTGCCATAGCTACATCTGCCGGTAAGGAATTCCAGGGACGACAAACCCGCAGTGAAAAGAAGTGGGAGCGCACCCGGGTCCTTGCCCTCTGGTGAGCTATCCTTCTGGGATTTCCACGTGGAAGCCTATACCTACTCAATGGCAGAACACCTTTGTTTGGGTGATTCTGGTCATTTGTTATTTTGTAGGCAGTAATCAAATCCCCCCTAAGCCGACGGTAACTAAGTGTGAACAGGCCTAATTTCTTCAGCCTTTCATCATATGGTTTGTTTCGGAGACCAACCACTCCTTTTGTTGCCCGTCGTTGGACTCTTTCCAAGAGGTTGGCATCTCTTCTCAGCATTGGGGGTGCAATAATATTATGCACCTCAAGGTGTGGCCTGACGTATGTTTTGTACAACATTAGAAAGAGCTCAGGAGTGAGTGCACCTAACTGTCTATGCGTAAAGTGTATGACCGCATATGCCCTCGCTACATCCCCTGTGTAATTTACGCTTGTGTCCATTTTTTCCGTTAGAACTAGACCTAAGTCGCGTTCCGACGTTGTGCAGGACAAGCTTTCATTGCACAGGGTGTAACTTGCATTCTGCAGTCTACAGGTGCGCAACTTCACTACTTTGCACTTTTTCAAGTTGAAAGTCATGCCACTGGCCACCGCCCAGTCTTCCAGAAGGTTTAGGTCTTCCTGTAGCCTATCTGAGTCCTCCGGACACTTTATCGCCCTCCATATTTTTACGTCGTCAGCGTACAGGAGAGTCGGGCAGCTCAGACGGCGTGGTAGATCATTGATGAAAATCAAAAACATCAGTGGTCCTAGGATAGAACCCTGCGACACTCCTGATGACGATCTGTGCCAAGATGATCGGACTCGGTTAACCTTAGTGCAAAATTGCCTGTCGGCTAGGTAGTCCTTCAACCATGACAGAAGTGGCTCACCTATGCCTGCCTGGCTTATTTTATGTAGGAGAAGGTCATGGTGAACAGTGTCAAATGCCTTCTCAAAGTCTAGGAAGACCACATGGACTGGTACGTTCAAGTCCCAGCATGATGTCCAGTCGTCCCAAGCTGACAGTAGGTTAGTGACGCAGGATCTGCCTTTTCTGAAACCATGTTGGGCTTCATGTAGTATATTAGTCCTATCGAAATATCCCCTGATGTGGTCGTCAATAATACTTTCCAGTACTTTTGATACCACTGGGAGTAGAGCTACTGGTCTATAGCTAGCAGCGTTTTGCCTGTCCCCACCCTTGAAGATTGGAGAAAGGATGGCTCTTTTCCACTCCCTTGGCAGGGTCCCCGAATCCATTGAGTGTTGGAACAAGTCGCACAGGGGTCTACAGAGAGCCTCGGCGCACTGTTTCAGAACAGATGGCCTGATGTCATCACAACCTGGGGACTTCCCAGGTATGAGTCGCTGTAGCTTCCTTAGTACTATTGCGGGGTTTATTTGGGGAGTAGTCGCTAGGTCTTCCTCCTCTGAAATAGTGGTGCCACCATTTTGGTCCGTAACTGTAATATCCACATTGCTGTTTAGCTGTTTAGCGAAGGCTGAACTGAATGTTTCAGCCATCTCCAGACTAGTGAGATATTGACCGTTTGGGCCTACTAAGGCGCATGCCCCTTGGTTTGTCGGTTTTCTTTCCGACATGAATCGGTACAAGTTTTTAGGGTTTGATAGGAGTTTTTTAGCAAGGTTAGCCTGGAATGACCTTCTGTCCCTCCTGACTCTTGCATTACACCGGTTCCTGAGTTCGAGGTATGCATCATGGTCGGTCTGACTCTTAGATACACGCCACGTAAACCAAGCCTTCCGCTTTGCTTGCAGAATACGTTGCGTGCCTCTCTTCAACCATGACGTCTTTCTCTTAGGCTGTGTTGTGACTAAAGGGACGGTATCCGAGATTGCTGTATGGATAATCTTTTTTACCACTTCCCAGTGTTCATCCACAGATAGGTCGTCCCATGCTAAGGGCCAGTCTGCGTCGGACAGGAGCCTCCGCATTTCAGCATAGTCAACCCATCTCCACTTTCTCCTGCATATTTGCTGTTGGTGGGCGATTGGTTCTTGTTTTGTTTTCTTTGTTCCCATAGTTTCTTGTTGGTGATTGTTTCCGGCCCGGCCATCTGATCTTCAGTATAGATCCAGCGAAGACAGTTAGTTGTTGATAAAGGTAACGTCTACAACAGGCTGTTGGAAATATTCCTTGTGACCCACCTGCCAAGTTTCTCATCCGTATAGAAGAACTGACTGACTTGACGTGTTTGTATTGAAAATCAGACCGACGGAATTTTGTTGTTGATTCTGGCTGAGTGACGAAGATTGGTTTCCAGATTGGTTGTTTCAGGTTGATGAGTGAATGTGTTTCTCGCCTTCCCGATTCTCTCTCGATTTGACATCCTCGTCCGTTCCGACTTCCTGCAGTTGGGACAATGCTCACTCCCTAGATAAGTAAGTGAATGAAGTGACCTCTTTCAAATGCCTCCTGTTGATGTTGATTGGCTGCTGGCTGGATTTTGCTGCCCTTGTTGTTGTTGGTTGATTGGTTATTTCCATAACCTCCGTCTTGTCTATGTTCACTTGGAGTCCTGTATTTGCTGCTTCTTCGGCCAGTTTGTCGGTTTTCACTTGTAACTCTTCGATTTTGTGTGACATCAAACATAAATCATCCACGCGAGAAATCCAGGTCTTCTAGGTTCTTCGTGTCGGTCCAGGATATCCCTGTCTTCTCGTTTCTCACTGTCTGGTGCATAATCCAGTCTACCACAATTAGGAATATCAGTGGTGATAATAAGAACCCTTGTCTGACTCCTGTGTTTACTCCAAACGCTTCGCTGAGTTTTCCGTTGTGGATGACTTGACATGTTCCATTGTCGCACAGCTGTTGAATAAGGTTGATGAATGTCTGGGGTACGCCGTAGTACTCGAGTAGTTTCCAAATTACTTCGCGGTCAACGCTGTCGAAGGCCTCCTCAAAGTCTATAAATTTGAGGTAGACAGAGGTTTGATGGCCATTCCATGCTTTGTTCTGTGATGATGATGCGTAGAGTTGCAATTTGGTAAGAATATGTGTTAGTCACGTCTCAAAAACCGTTAATGCCCAGCTCTTGCTACACCGGGCCTCTCACTGTCCCTCGAAGCCTTTCAGAAACGCTTAGTACTAACGGACGCAAAAACCGAAACACCGACTGGCGACTCGAGAATTCTTTATTGTAACACCAACATATGAGCAGCATAATAACTAAGGTTTCTGACGGTTTACTGCCGACTTCTTTCTGGACAGCGGCCGATGAGACGATGACTGTCGTATTGATGCCTCCGCGAAAATATAGGGAAGTTGGGTTTGAGCAAACAACCGTGAATTGATCGTTCAGTCTTCAGCTACATTGATAATCCCTGGCAAAAAATGGATCCATCCCTTTTTTCCATCACGACCAACACACGTTGACTTGGATGCCATTGCGAGAACCTGGGTCACACGGACAGAGCTGAAATGGAAAACAAACAGAAAAGCCAATACACCACAAGCATACCCACAGCACAATCTCACACGTCAATGACGACTTGTGCCTTCCAGTTAAAGGTATCCTCTTGACATCTTGTAACACAATCGCCACTCTCTAGAATAACTCTTGCAGAACGCAACGTGACCAAAGCAGCACCTCATGATACTCTTCGCACATCCTCTTATCTGTTCACTACCAATTGACGCTGCAATCGCTTGTCACTCATTCTGCCTTAGTTCTGGTAACGGTGACGTATGCAACACTCCCGCTCCCCAGCGTGTGGGATCACAGCTAACATGTGCATGTCATTCTAGCACTAGCCTAGCCTCCCTGGCGTACACGACCCATCTGCCGTGTTTAACACCAATCAATTCATTCACAGATGTAGAAGACTCGAAACAACCTCCGAAGTGGGCATGACGAAAAACTTAACAAAATTATGCAATAACAACAAGATATAAAGAAAACAAGTAAACACAATTAATCCAAACACAAATTGATATGACACACCACACGTATATACATGCAGTAGAAATAACCTCACCGATCGTGTCTCGATGCAATTCCTTTGAAGAATTGCAGGACTTACACCAGTATGCCCGCAAATCTTCTCAGGTTGACGACTGTAGGTTGAAGAATGTCTGGACACAAACAAGATTAACCAACAATTACATTAATTGGAACCCACTCAATTACTTAACACAAATATGTGTACAATCAATACATCAAATGTTGTGGATCCTGTCCTTACGAACTACCCTTGAAGAACTGTAGGACTTACAGCAGTACGCCTGCAACCCTTCTCAGGTTGACGCCTTAGGTTGGAAAATCGTCAAGGGGTTTTTAGAGGTTGACCGAATCCCTTGTTCAGCACCTTCCAATTTATTTATTCTCGCGTACCAAAGACAAAGCAAAAGCCAATAATTGGTCGTCCAAACTTCGTGATATATTTCGGGACCAAAACAAGCCTTCAGACTAACGCTTAGCTAGCTAGTGATCGTGCACATGACAAGACGGGGTACCAAATGGCGGGGATGCTTGACCGGAAACCTTCAGCTAAACAAGTCGACTTAAACAGTGGTGGTCAGCATCCAATGAGTGATTGCTGTGGTTAATAATTTTGGGGAATTATTTACCGCTACAGGTTCATCCTCCTACTCTCGACTCTCAGCACCTTCCAGTAGAAACAGTTTCCTAATATCTCGCACCAACAAGCCACAACTTGTCCTCACCTCAACCGTCCTCACCAACCCATCACTACTACAGAGTAGCCTTTCTACCACTCCCAAAGGCCATCTACCTGTGGCTCATTTATCTGCTACTAAGACTACATCATCAACCTTTAAGTTTCTGCACAACTTTTTCCACTTGTCTCTGGTTTGCAGTGTTAGAACATAGTCCTTTAACCATCTTTTCCATAATATATCTTTCATGTGCCTGCCTTGCTTCCATCATCGCTTCATAGGTATTCGTTCCCCGCGTGAGTCTGTAGTGCCTCTATACCAACTGTAAACGTGCTTTTTAATCTAATATTTATACTTGTGTTATATGTGTACACAGACCGATTTTATATGTACTTCGCAAACATTTGTCAATTTACTGTTGAACATTGCCTTGACACAATTTCGAAATTTGACTATAATACACGATCGTACTCTTCGCAAGTGCCTTTTGATTTACGTTGTGGGCGTCGAGTAGCCACAACCGTTCCAGCCAATGAAAGACGAAAATACCTGAGTCGCGGAAAATATAACTCGCACAACGTATATCCTCACTCCGTGAAGGGTGTGTAATGACTATCATGATATCACTAAATGAGTTTCCTATTTCCTCATTTTCATAAGGAACTCTGACGTGGCATTGCTAGAGCTCGAAG